CCTATGGCTTACCTCCACGTGGTGCACCCTGGGCAACGTATACTCATACGGCAAAAAAGTCTATTAACTGGCAGTTAATTTCTCACTTCAAACTATCATGACCCCACTGTATGTCATATTTGACCCCTTACACAGTACTTATCTTACTTTTTCTCCGCCTTTGTGTCTGTCTGTCTCTTTTACATCCGTGAATCACTCTTCTGTTCCCCCTCTCGAATTTGTCGCACTTTGATGTTCCTCCCCTCTGGGAAGCCCGAAGTCAGCTAAAGGCTAATGATAACTATAAAAACGCCTGCCATTTGAAATAAATAAATTTTTTGTCCATGCTTCAAATAACTCACCTTAAATCGATTTACTTTATTAGGCTTTTAGTGACTTAAAATTGCGCAAGTTGTACTGCAAGCATTCTCGCTTCAAACGATGACACCGAGAATAAATCGATCTATTGAAAGTTAGTCTGAGGGTTTCTAATCCATCAATTCGTTTATGTTAATCCACCCGCAGTAAATGTACCACTAACTTTGGCAAAGGTGATTTATATTATTTATTTATTTATTTATATCAAATGGCAGGCTTTATGATAGTTATCATTAGCCCTTTAGTTGACTTCAGGCTTCACAGAGGGGAAGGAACATCTAAGTGAAAAGAGTCCGGCTTCTGATATTGATTCTGTTAAATATGTTGCACCTTTACGGCATTCTTTTCGCTTTATTTACAAGAGCTCACTTTAACTTCCGTAATTCTACTTTTCTCGAATGGTCGCGCTAGTCATGTATTCGTCTTGAAGGATTGGTATTATCTTGACAAACCAACATATGCGTAATTTATACAGTCCAATCCTTACTTAGATGCTATGTTTACTTCGGTATCATTTTGATTGGTCAATCTTTGAAGCGTTGCACACTTCGCTTCCATTTTATTTGACCACGAATGTTTACTAAGGGCGATAATTGATTTTTTATTGGCAAAAGTGGTGTTCTGTCAGAAAGTGAGAAAGCAAGTCTGGTTTGTGGCATCAACTGGCATATGTGAGTAGGTGCATGTTACAATAAAAGGTGGAGTTAATCTCACTGTCGTCGCCTATCTCACCAGACTTCTTTTCCATCTCTCTCTCTCTCGAGCCAACGAACTTTGCAGACCTTTGAAATATCCCCCTTCCGTTAATTATTTATTTCTTCTCTTTTGCAGGTTGTTGAATACTCGGAAATTTCGGCTTCAACGGCGGCGCTAAAGTTGCCTATGCCCCCATTCCAGACCGAGACTGGTTCACGTTTGCTCTACTGTCTGGGAAACATTTGCAATCACTTCATGACCATTCCTTTCCTAGAGAATGTTTGCGACCGAAAACGCGAGGCGGAGTTACCTTATCACGCAGCCCACAAAAAGGTGGCACATCTCGATTTGGATAATGGAGAACTTATAAAGCCAACTCAACCCAACGCTCTCAAGTTGGAGAAGTTTATTTTTGATGTCTTTAAATTCTCTCAGTAAGTTTGTATTTCTTTGCGCTTGTGTAAAGCTTGAGCCAGTTTGAGGGACAAAGAGTGAGTGCAGCTTGAACTGCAATAAACTAGTAACGTTTAATTAAGCTACTTATAAGAAAGATATCTTTGGGTGCGTATTAAGCTCGCAGCGGTTAGTAACCTAACAGCACTGAGGGTGGAAAAATTCAGTTCTTTCCCATAAATGGGTCTTCATGTCTACGCTACTCCTAATCAAAATGGATATTGGAAAACGGTTTCTTAAATGCGACTGAGTTTCTCATTCTATTAGCTTTTAGTTTGACCATTTTCATCTGTTTGATGCCAGGTACCTTGAGTAAAAATCACTCAAACTGTAGATCTTTCCGGTATCTGATTACAGGATTGAGTTTGACACGTCAATTCCCATCGGTAATGGACTAGTTATTGCACATGTGCTTTCAATCTTTTCCTCCCGTTCCAGACGTTTCTACATTTGGGAAGTGGATCGAGCAACTGAGTTTTCACCACTGAAGAACGGCCCAGGAGCCCAGAAGGATTGTCCTGAGACTTGTCGCAAAGCCATCCTCGAACTGCATACCAAGTGGGCCAAGGCAGCTGGTGCCGTCTTTGAAAATGAGGAGAAGGACATTCTTGAAATCTCCCCTCTGGTTAGCGTTCGAGGAGAGGTAAGACTTTTCATTCCCACCATATTCACTCCGGAAATGTGGTTTGTCTGCGTCGATGTGATAGTTTTGCTATCGTGTCCTATCGACTGAAATAATAATAGTAGCTTTGCGAATCAACGTTGTTGGAATGTCGAACTCTATCGGATTTTTGCTACAAAATAAACCAAAATAGTAGGAATAGCTGCGCACATTGTTACTTCTTATAGTTTCTTGACCTGCATTGGTGATTATACTTTTATAAAAGATTAAGCTGAATAGTTCACACTTTGAATACAATGGTAAGATATGGACAGTCAACTCATGATCTCATGAAATAAAACAACACTCTACTTCCAATAGTGTCATCCTACCAAGTGAATCGATTTTCTTAAACAGCGCGCCTATTCGATATCTTTGTATATATGTTGTAGAATTTGGAATGCCTGAAAGGCGTGAAGATTGAGGGCGTGAACGTCTTAGAAATGTGCAAGAACGAGAGTGGTGAGTATGTGCCTACCTTGCTTAAAGTGGATCAGCCTTCCGATTAATTCACGCAGACAGCAGTGCCAATATCTCTTCCTCTCTCCCCGCATCCCATTTTTTTCCCCACACCAAAGCTCTCAATTCCTTCTTATCGTAATTAACAATATTGCTCTTCTCGATACCTCAAATTGTAAATTTTCTCTTCAAATTATCTCAAACCTCTCCAATTGGAGTCTTTCGGATATTGTTGATTTATGTTAACTTTCCTTGATTACTATGGTATTCGATTATGTACTTCTAACATGGTATTTGGTTTTTTTGCTCTATTTAGAGGAAGAATTTCTAGAAATCAACGTAGTGTATGTGTTATTAATGCAGGTAGATAGTTTATCCGCCAAGTGACTTACAAATATCTACTTGATTTTGCAGAATTGCTAAGCTAATGAAGCCAGAATTCACACAGGGTGATAATTAAGGCTAAGATGGAAAATTTGTGGCAGTATCATAAAATAACATGGGTTGGACTATTCGCAGTATACATGCAGTGCACTTATGGTCTCAACTTAAGATGTCTTAATATCGATCCTTGGTGGTCGAATTGAATGACTTTCATAAAAGTCATTTCAAGGACACCAAGATGTCAATCGCTTTTTCAATAGAGGTCTGGTTGGACAGTTTGTGGATGCATTATGAATTAGTATCGTGCGTTTTGAGCAACATATGGTCAACTTGGTAAATGCAGATCATTTTCTGACTTCCACCGTCATTAAGAAGAGTAACAAGTAAAACACCAGCGAGTGACTTTTAGACAGAAGTGACATGAATCAAGGTGTAAAGCCTCATTTTCATCGTAAGTGAAGTAGTTCGTTCCAAGATATTTTTATTTATTGTATGATTGCTTTGCTGCAACCCTCTAAATTACCATAACATACTTGACGAAACTGAGTAAGGGATTGCTTCGAAGGTGAAGACCATAGATGTGCTATTTTCGGATGTTCTAAATAATTTATTGCATTCGTGAAAACGAGTTATTGTGATTTAATTATGAATTTAATAAAAACAATGTAACAAAAGTTTGCACTAACTCATAAGACAAAATGCCTAGAATTTTTCGCTCTTGCATCTGACTCAATCTGTTCCCATATATATTAATGTATATCAATTACAATGTTGCAAGATTTTAAACCAAGCAAGAGTTTTAATTTCTTACTATCAACGTGATATATTACTGAGGGGCAAATGTTAGTGGATTTCATATAGGGAATTAGGGACCAAAGATCATATCTAGAGGGACGATCTTAACACTTCCAAAACCGGCATATTAATGTGAAAGTGGGTTTCGCGTTTTATTTTGAGGTTTATTAGCATTCTCATCCCTAGAGATTATGATTCAACTAATACAAATTATCAAGCATATAGATCAGAGAAGACTTAGGAATAAAATTAGCATAAAAATTGTCAAATACTTTTAAATATTTAGTTTTCACTGAAACACTTAAAATATTAGACAATTCTGAAGAAAGAGATAGAAGGCACGTATTTCAATTTCATTGATCGGTTTGGCTCATGTTAACCCCAGTGTTTACTTGCCCATGTGGCTATTCGCTATTTGGTCTAGTATATCATGCGTCTTATTTTAATTATATTGATATCCATTTATCTGTTTACCTACTCATCTTATTGTAATGAAAATCTTGATCTCGAATCACTTAAGCAAAGAGTTAGGGATCTTTTCTATCATGGATATGATAATTATATGAAGCACGCGTACCCTTATGACGAACTTCGGCCAATTTCCTGTGATGGGCATGACACTTGGGGTGGTTTCTCTTTGTCCCTAATAGATGCATTGGATACACTTGTTGTACTGGGTAACCACACAGAGTTTCAAAGGGCGGTTAACTTAATCCTTGAAAATGTTGACACAAATCAGAATGTCAACATTTCCGTTTTTGAAACTAACATTAGAGGTAAGTTATTCCATGGAGTAGGTTTTATCTGTCTTAGTTGTTGGAGGACTTATTTCCGCTCATTTGCTGGCAAAACGAGCTGGTTTGGCTGTAGAACCGGGCTGGCCTTGTCATGGGAAGCTGTTGGATTTGGCTGAACGTTTTGCTAGCAAACTTCTACATGCATTCGAGACGCCTACCGGGATGCCTTATGGTACGGTTAACCTCGGTAAAGGCCGAGTTCCTCGCGACGAAACTCCCATTTCGTGTGTTGCAACGGTTGGAACGCTGATTCTTGAATTCGGCACCCTGTCAAGGCTCACTGGTGCGTGGTTGATTTTTCATTTTTTATTGATTTTCCATTTTATGAGATCGTTGTGTAAATGATTGACGTCGAGGGAAATGCTGGGTAATACCCCGAATTGATTTAAGTCATCTTTGGTACTTTCTTCTACACTTGTATTGCTTGATTTCCTGGTATTATATTGGTTGTTGCATTAGAGCGTTCTCGATCGATAGTTTGATGATGTTTTATCTACTGGATGCACTGTGTTTTAGAAAGGTTTATACCAAATGTAAATTTATACCTATTAGTATTCAACAATTAGGTGCTTAATATATTTCGGCTATCGATTTAGTGGATGTCAGGTCAGATCGAACTTGACTGGTCATCGTACTTCCTTTGATATTTCGTTCAAATACCTATTGTATAGCATATTTATTAAAGCAACATTTTTTATTAAAAAATAAACTTCGTTTTCATACTGCTTTTCTAGGGACTCGTATAATCTTACTCGATTGGAGCTACTTAAATCGAAATATAAGTCGTATTTTGCAGATACTCTTCAAAACTGAGGTCTGTTCGCCTTTTTACGCTCCTACTTGGTAGTATTTTGAATGGCGTTCGATTTATCGCCACCCACTTAGGCATGAAGTTAATTGATGGATCGTTCTAACATACATATTATATGTAAGCGGTAATTAGTTCATCCTATGTCTCCATGTTTTGCTTATTGACTTTTTACCGTCAATCGTATTCCTACCCGGACACTTTTTGCTATGATTTCATGATTATTAGGAGGAAATTTCAATCCCTGAACAAAATTCTGGTAGAGTATTTGTTTAGTTATTATTTTTAAATAGCTGTTTCTGAAGTGTCCTCATTACCATCTCCTCTGCTATTCATTTAGATAAGAGAATGAAGAGATAACTTTCTCTGGCTTGTAAGTCTTTTTAACCATGATTCACTTTCGTGGCTGACATCCGTTGTCTATTACATCATTTTCTAACTGGGAGTTTGACGCTTTAGCTTAATAAGAAATCTGATGAACTATTTTTTTTTTCACATCGAATAGTTGATGGGAGTATGTTTACTTCCTTATAGGTGATCCACGCTATGAAGAAGCGGCAATGAAAGCTCTCAGAGCTTTATGGTCTCACAGATCCACGATCGGTCTGGTCGGTAATCATATAAATGTTCTGACTGGTGCTTGGGTTGGACGAGAGGCCACAATTGGAACTGGTGCTGACTCCTACTTTGAATATCTTCTCAAGGGCTCCATATTATTCCGATTACCTGAATTGGATGCCATGTTTCGAGGTTTGTTCTGCTTCCTTATGGGGAGCCATCCTATTTTCTAGAATATCGGGAGTCTATCAGCAAATATCTGCGATTTGGGCAGTGGCATGTAATGGCATCTATGGATACTGGAATGGTGACTTCAGCTGTCTATCAAAGCTTGGAATCCTTTTGGCCGGGTGTTTTGGTATGTGATCATATTTCTTTTAAAAAATTGATTGTTGCTTCCTAGTCAATGGCAGGTGGTATACAAGAGGCCAAGGAACTGCTGTTATCTTATCATTCGGTGTGGAAAAAGTTTGGTTTCCTACCTGAGATGTTTGACTTTGTTTCGGGTACACCGTTAAGATCACGTAATATCTACCCTCTCCGTCCTGGTAATTTTAGGTTGGAATTGTTCATTGCCCTTGTCAATCATACTAAGCGTCTTATTATGAATTTCTCTATTTCAGAGTTTATTGAATCAATTATGCACGTGTATCGTGCCACTAAGGATCCATATTTGCTAGAGATGGGCGTCAATATCCTTACTTCAATTGAGAAGGATGCCAAAACAAGCTGCGGTTTTGCAACAGTAACTTATTCCTTGAATTTGCCTTTCTATTATTTCTCTTCAATAGATTCACAATGTTCAAACTCACACTAAAGAGAACAGAATGGAGTCATTTTTCCTCTCAGAGACTGTTAAGTATCTCTACCTTCTATTTGATGAGGACAACTTCCTCCACCGAAATCCTCTCTCTGTCTCAGATGCCCCGCCTCCTGGCAACGGGGATAATCTCTGTTCTCAAGGCACTGGCTACATATTCAACTCAGAAGCCCATCCTCTTGACGCTGGTCTTATTCACTGTTGTTCCGTTCAACATCTTCGTGAATCAGAAGTAATTAACAGTGCAGAATCCCTCCCTCATAACTTGGGCTTAACAACTGACCTCGGAAGTCTAGTTAATGGATCGGCCGTAACTTCGTCTTTCCACCAGGCAGTACTCGCGGAAGTCGATTCGACCTTCAAGGAACTTCTGTCCCCCAGTGTAACATGGACTGATGAGAATTCTGGAGAAAGTACCAATACGGATTCAATCGACGATTTTTTGGAACAACTATGGAGATCCATGAGTGCGGATGTACTATTGTCCAGTTCCTCCAGGGAGAATCCGTCAGTTCCGCCGGATTACGTCCCTCCAAGTATGCATCGAAACTCGGGGTTTCCACTTATGACCTGTCCTACGATGTCCTTTCATGCTCGACTAAACTCGATGCGTGATATGGATTATCGAAACCTCAAATAGATGCCAAACTTTACGCCTTCAGTCTTTCCTCTATTGTATTACTTCACTTTTTATTAAATTAATAATCTTTTTAAACTTCCATGAGTATGTGAAATTCTGTCTCTTATGGTACCAGCAACGAGTTAGTTCAAATGAGACTATGGCTTGCACAATATCCTCTTGTTGGTTTATTCACGTGTCTGAATTGAAACGTGTGACATGTCTCGGGTTTCTGGGTACATTCGTTTCAGCTATTTGCAGTGCTCTTCCAAGGTGAATCCAATCATTTTCTTCTTTTGTCTTAGCATTTTTGGTTGAACAGAACTTTGGACGACAGTTGTATTCATCGTTGCCAACACTAGACACCCACATTTGAAGGAATTCTCAAGTGTTAAGAATGAATACTGATTGTGCAAACTCCATTAACAAATAGTTTTATTAAAATCATAAAAATATTTGCAATAATGTATTTACAAAAGCCGAATGAGTGTATATGAGATGACAGTATCTACTTCATCGCCGATATCTGAAGCGTTTGAAGTGGAACCAGAGTTGGAAAATGTTGTTGTGGAATTGGCATCGGAAGCCATGCTTATAGGAGTACTCCCATTCCCGACTGACAATTTTGAAGGCGATATCCTCATACGGTGGGCCCGCAACGAAACGCAAAACCTCAAAATCGGGTTCCCCTTCACAGGGCGTACGCATGTAGATGGGCGTCTTGGTCATATCAATGAGATCGGGATAGAAAATATTGAACTTGTAGCCCTGGACAACCTTGGGCGGTGGATTGTCAAGATCGTAGTGAGTCTGGTTGTACTTGTTCCACACGAATCCCGTGTGCACTCGGTTGAAGAACCGGGGTTTGCGTGGACGGTACTTGTCCGACCATAAGAATGACTGATCTTCCAAAGGTGCCTAAATAACCATTAAATGAATATCAATATTCACACTCATGAATAGTTTTGATATTTTTTATCATCTAAATAGAGTACAGCAAAGGAGAAAAGTAGATTCGATGTAAAAAGGTAGAAAGTCAAGCATCTTATATTATTATTATGTTGATCACCATTAACGAAATGGGCCAGTTTTTTTGCAAGGCTACACGAATGCTTAAGGTTAAAATTTTAAGCATAGAGTATTCGATTGACATGTGACTCAACCTAATTCTGATCAACTATACCATAAAGCGCCTGAAAATGCCTAAGAAAGAAATGGCTAGCCGAGAGCTAAAAACAATTTTCAGCTTAGAATGCAAAGAGAGCAATCATATCGCTCCTAATATTTGAAAGCTAAAAAGTAAACCCTGAACTATTAAGCAATGAGGCCATTAGTTTAGATCCGCGGCAAAAAAATGCAGAAAGAAATGCCTACGATCAGTGAAACCAAGCAAACTGCAATGTACTTTATAGTAAGTGAATTTACCATAACGCTGAATTCAGCATCACCCTCCTCGAGACCTTCACGAGCACGTTTCATAAGTTCATCCTCGGTGGACTTTCGCAGTTCCCCATTGTGCATCACATCCTTCCTCTGAAACTCCAATTTGGCCCAATCATCCTGAGCATCATACAACACGGCATCAATCTCCACATCAGCCGGAGTCAACAGCTTGGGCGAGTAGAGGACAGAGTCGTAGGAATCTGGTTCACTGGAAATTGGCTGGGAGCAAGAGGTAGAAGGACCAGGTTCCTCTTCAGTAGTTGGGGGCAGTGGTTCCTTGAAGGTATCCACTTCACCTTCAGGGAAGCCCTTCTCGGCTGCTCTTTTTTGTTGCAACTCTTTAATCCTTTCCACCATCAGCTGATTGGTGTTGGCTGCAGAAGGGAAGATTGGAGTCTTGTCACTACTTGAGGAGGCTATGCCCTGGTTCTGTTGGAGATAGGCGAGTTTTCGACGCAGGTGCTCTTGATGTCTCTCTCGTAAACGGGTGCGAGCCATTTGAGCCGCTACAATCTGCGACAGTGTCTCCCAGTAACCGACATCTATACCCTCGCCACCACGCAATTTAGGTTGAATCTAAACAAGAAAACAACAACTCTGGTCAGATTACGATAAACTAGTAATCGTTATCGGTAGGGAAGTTACTAGCTGTGCTAACTTAGAAGACTGAAAAGAGCAATCACGAAAACATGGAAGGGAGGAGGTACAATAGACAGAACCCCGTCTAGTTGAAGTACTTGTTTGATTTGAACCCATCTTAACTACACAGTTGAATATAACCACTTGGATTTTGGTAAGTAGGTTAGCATAGCTTAGATAATCTGCGAGGATATGCACCATTATCTGAATCTAAGGGTAGCGTGATCTAGGTAGATTTAATCACACAAAGGCAACTAAATCATATTATCAATTGAAGGCTATTTTACTGTAGTCTTTAACTAAAGCACCACCTACAGGGATCAGTTGCAATTCAACAAATTGAAGTGATTCTTACCTGTTTTTCCAGAGCTGCGAGCTGAGCATAGGTCTTGGATTTGAGAGTATCCGCAACAGATTTGAGCACAGGGCTGCTGATACTTGAGGAAGCTTGTCGGCCCTCAGGGTCTTCATCTTGCTTTAAGCGCCTCAATTCGTCCTCAACGATCACCGTCATATCACGCCAGTACTCTACATTCTGACCCTTCTCCAATTCCATGTACACCACCTAGGGAGGAAGACTCAGTTAGCATCGGTAAGACATGGAAGTGGAGGCCAAGATGTTAAACGAAAGCCTTGTTGAGACTGGTCTATGGCAGAATATCCCGAAAGTCACAATTTTAGTTTTATACAATGCGCTTACCGTATAGAAATACACCTTTTAAGGAGAAAAAATACTCCACTTTGAAGACAAATGAAGATCTATGGTAAATGATGAAAAAATTAACAAAACGAACACACACACACGAACTGATACGACTATACCACATAATAGCAGGCCGAGAGAAAATATAAGAGGCAGCCAATACAAAGCAGATCTAAGGCGCAATGCCCCATGGTTTACAGGAGAATGGACCAAAAATTTATATTTGACTTCTGTAGCCCATAGTAACTAGTCGGCAAGATGAGCAATCCATAAATAGCGGTTGATTTGACAGCAGCATGACTTCTTGGGCACACTAATCGACCTAATTCAGCGGGAAATTAGAACTATGACCAGCGGCCTATCTCTAAACCGGAAATCCGACGACGAAGGAAGATATCCCCTCATTACACACCAACTTAATCTGGAAAGAAGACAAACAAGATGAAATCTACTTAGGCCTATCTTACAGATAATCCCCAAATTCAAGCCCAAGAGTCTACTAACTTGTTAATCCAAGTTAGAGGGAAATTAATACGATTAGACGAAACGGCAGTGGAATGGCAATACAACTGGAAGTAAATAGAAACTGTGACAAAAGAAGCGCATACCTTTATATCAACCAGTAGATCCTCTAAGTCTTCAATGCTAAGACCAACAAGAAACTGAGTGGGTTCCATGACTTCAATCGCACTTGAAATATCCCCACCAGAGGACATATTCTGTGCTCCCTCATCCTGATCAGCGATATACTTTGAGAGTAGATCAATGGGTTTCGCCCGTCCATCGGCAATTCTGATTCTCGAGCGAAGTTTCGCCTGTTCCAGATGAAATGTATCCTCCTGTTGACCCCAAGACTTGTAATATTCAGCTTCTTTCTCTCTCTGGAGCATCTCCATCTCCTTTTCCCTCTCTTCCTTCTCCCTTTCGCGCTCAAGACGTCTTCTACGTACATTCTCTAACTCTCGTCTTGTCTCCTCAATTTTTTTAGCTTGTAGGATTTGCAATTGGGCACTATCCAGATGAGAGAGACCCCTATTGTCGATTTTATGGCGCCAGACAAAGGGATTGTCCTCGATAGCGCAGCCAAGGTAATCCCTTCCCCAACCGAGCTTTTCTCTACGACGACGTTCCTTTCGCTCCTTTTTCGCGATTCGTCGAGCACGCTTCTCTTCGGGTGTTTCAAGCTCCTTCATTGCAATCTGAATGAGAACATGAAGTCGTAATCAAATGGTATGTAGCTTGAAGGGCTTCCTACTGATGAATCCGGAGACCACCGAATGAGGGTTTTAAACCTTTTTGGAAAGTATATTTGCTTCTTAGCCACTCAAAAATTGTATATTGAAATATTGCCCATTCATGCACCCAATTACTACAACTAGACCTAAAAAACATTCCGACAGAAACAAATAAAGGTCCATTCAAATTTAAGTCTTTAAAATTATTTTGACATATTCTCGCACATTAAGACAGAATAGGAACTTAGGTCAACTGCAATTAAGCTTTAAATCTTGTGACTTGAAAGACACTAACAAAAAACATAAATGGAAGCAAAGAAGCCTGCAAATTTTTAGCACATACCTTTTTCTGCCTGACGATCTCTTTAATTTTCTGAATTTCCTCTGGTGATAGGGAGATATCTGAATCTGAAGAACTCGAAGATTTGGATCTTTTGTGATGCTTGTGAGAACTATGCCCACTATGCCGATGTTTATCTTTACTCTTAGAAGAAGACGCGTGAGATCGATAGGACTTATCGCATGATTGAAAATGCGATGGCATCTAAAAAGCCACAAGACACAAAGTTAGCATTAAAAAAAATAAAATGAAAAATAGAGAAGCTAAGTAATACAGATTAATTTATTTGTACAAAGGTAGTATATCACATGTGCCTGAAGTAGTAATCTATGAGAGTGGAAAATGCTGCAAAACCGGCGGCTCCTGCAAATCCTGCTTGAAGACCAGCTCGAAGACCAATTGATCCACCTACAAGAGCGCCGGTCATCACACTATTAAGTATATCGGATTTCCCTCGTACTGTCTCGAGTGCACATTCGGTTCCAGCGAATAAACCACCAATGACAGCGAAATTCTTACCATGAGATACAGCACGTGAATACATTTCCTTGGCAACTGCCCTAGTGGTAACAGTCTCTGTCCCAGTAACGGTACTAAGAGGATCAATGCTAGCAGTAAACAATCCGAAAACGCCTCCAAGTACCATACCTACAGCAATTCATTATAAAAAGTAAATCATGTTACCTCCAGCGCAACTGATAACTGACTTGAATGTGCAGCCTTCCATGAATCTATGAACACGAACTTCTTCGGGAGATGGAAGTGGAAAGGTAGGCAATTTCATCGTCATAACCTTGCCCTTGTTATTGAGTATATAACTACTAAGGCAGGACTTCAAATTAGCAGGATTGTCACTGTTGACTGCTGTGTTAAGATCCATGTGAAATTTCCTCAAACGCTCCTTATCTTCATCACTCATGTCGACAATATGCCTGTATCTTTCGCGCATAAGTTGCTGAAATTCGGCATCTTTATTTTCCATTCCGAATTTTCATAAGGGTTTGAAAAGTATCAGCTAACTAAAACTAATTGAACAACTTATAAAGCAAACAATTGCAGTAATGAATTCAAAATTAATGAATAATTAATTAATGTATATTGTTTGAAGTATGACAAAATATTCAATTAATTTTACTTTTTTAAAGCGTGCACATTTTATTTCACGACTAAAAACTTTTTCTTATAAAATCATAAATATCAATAGTTCCTTGTGTCGATTTTATTTATTTTACTATATTAATATACACAAATACTATCTTAAGTCAACCTTGTCATTTGTTTGACGCCCTTCGTATATCAATCGAATTTTAGGCCAATTCCCCAAAATGTATTACATGTTCAATTCTCGAATATGGATCCTAAATTAATTAATCTACTAAATTTTGAGAATACGGAATTCTCTTCATCGCAATATATATTAACTAGTCCGAGGTCTTTGCGGGCGTGCCACGAATTAGAAATTCGAGTAATATTTACTAAGAAATTGATATTGATTTAGCCCTCTGAACTGATTCACCTTCCACTTAGTTATTTTAAAACTAAATATGGCTACCTGTGTCAGTCAAAGTGCAATGAATTATTTATAGAACATGAAAATAATAGACAGAGTAATGTTTTGATAAATTTCTAATTAATCAGGAGTCATCAGATCGTGCATTGATGCGAGAAATCGGATAATTGATTTAGAGAAAAGAAAAAAATCATTTTCAAATGACCTGGTTCTCTGTGGAACTTCTATTTCCAAAATGTAAGTTCTTTTTTAGCTTCTTATATCTAATGCTTAACTACTCATGCCATTCTTCATTAACGTATTTTATATGCTATTAAATTTTTAAAGCACATTTGGAAATGTTACAAGTAATATACAAAGTTCGTTCTCCAACTCGAATGAAGTAAGGTGCTATTACTTTAATCGAACTAATTCAGCTCAGCTTTCCTATTTTACCAACTCCAACAAGAACTAATGAATATGAAAATTCTAAAGTACGCAGTTGAAACTTATTTTGCTCTGTTCTCACTTTCTATCTGATTGCTAATATTTTATTTACTCTATGCTTTATTGAAAGGAAATAATCGGAGGAAGCACTACACGGGTTTTTAAACATGAGATTCACAAACAGAAGCAGTAATCATCTTTCCCTCCATCCATTCGCAAATCTTAGGGCTCAAAAGAAAGATTGTTGTCGTTATTCTGGACGAAGAGCGAGATCGGCTTCTCAAACGAGGTAGTGGTTAAATCGGCACTATCCTTTCAACAATTTTCTTTTCTTAGGCCAGCTTACTCTGAAGAGCTTGTTCCTGTATTTACTGCCAGCCAGGACGTTCGAGTAAGAAGTTTTATCTTAGAGATATTAAGTTATGGTGAATGTATTTTTTTTCTTAAATTCAGTTCCAATTGTGAAAATTTTAGGAGACGGTAAGTGCAAGGCGTAAAGATTCATCTGCATTCACGTGTCAGTTCAATAGAAACATTCGACGTCGACCACACTTTGAAAGGTATGTGAAACAATCTTCGCCCCAAAAGAATATAACGCCCCAGTTGTCCGCTTGATCTTTTCCAAACATACTTCAAATTTAAATAAGCCAAACAATGGGTATTTTCATTTAATGAAATTAAGTGTTCTTGCACAGATCTAGATTAGATTTAAAAATGTTACTTAAATCATGGAAACATTAAATCTTTGAATTTTTAAACATTTTTTGAAAAAATTAATTTGAAAATTTTAGATTTAAACAGGAAGAGGATAAAAAGGACACTGAAAAGTAAGTTTCCACTTTAATAAAATTTTGATATTCGTAAAGTTGTGCAAGAAAATTTGACACAAGTTGGAGGAATGAGGAGAATTGAAGGACATATTCACAAGGAATATCATTTTTATCTTGAACTGTCTAACTATGACTCTACTATAATACCCTTGCAGATTAAAACAAGCGGAAGAGGAGGACGAGGAGGAAATAATTGTTGCCATGCCAACAACGGGTTGCCCTGAGAAGCACGAGAAACGAACCATAAAAGAGAGGGAACTTCACATTCTAGAGGTAAGATAATTCATTCTTAATGGCTAAAGTTAATTAGGGACTCTCTAGTTGTAAGTGGGTGGGGCAGCCTCATAATTATTGAACTAAAATACTAATCAATTATCATGAGTTGGAAAACAGAAGGAAGTTGATTGGAAAAATGCCCACAGACCGATTGGTCACACCGAATAGATTTAATGGTGCTTTAAATCTTTAGGTGTTTAAAGCTCATTTTAAATTTATCCCAATAGGCCTTTGTCACTTACCTTATATATTTTCATTATTGATTTAGACAAAACGTCTGGCTCATGAAGCAGCGAGTTTGCGAGAGGAAATTCGACGAATTTATCAGCATGAAATCAATTCTAACAATTTATGTAATTTTAAATAAATCAATAAAAGTGAATTGATAATTCATGTAATCGTATTTGAATTAAATAACATCATAGTAACCAATAGCATTTGAAATTGATTTCCACTTTTAGCATTATAAAGAAGATCTTTTGAGATCCGTCGTGTAGTTCAGGTGGTATCTTTTCTGTTAGGAAGAAGAATAGGATGTCTTTAATTTACATACCACACGTGTCGTGGATCAATTTGGTTTTTGATTCAGGTCTAAGATTTCGTTTCTTGTCTCCGACAAAATCATTGACTATCCAGACAGTCAGCCGTTTCGCACTGTCAACAGCTCCCTTACTCCAAAAAAAATTTTAGCCTCTTGGCATTAGTTCAGTCCTTGGCGCTTTGATTGAGGAGAATTAAGATGGCAATATTTACCATCATAACTAATTAATCGGTCAATGAATCCCGAATAAGCCAGAGAACGCAAAATTGCTCCGTAATCCTGGTGAAGATTCATAAGATTTTTGGTTTATAATATGAGCTACTTCTGTGCAAGCTAAATTCAAGAAACAATTGAGACAAAATTCCTTTGCACTTCGATTTTACTCGAAGCAGCCATTCGCTCTGCCTTTTTTCTCTCAAGTTAGTGCAATACGATATCACTTAATTACCAGCCGGGGTAAAAGTTGCCCAACCTCAGGAGAAACAGGAAACAAGTAGGGTGGCACACTACAAGCTGATCAACTCTCATTAAAGCTTCAACATTTGCAAGAATAATAAGACCATATGTCAAAATGATGGCCACGTGTTTATAGTTCACCAAAGTCCATTTCAGTTTAAAAGATTTAAATCAGACAATGGGAATTCAAGTAACATTCCAAGAATCAAGATAGTGACGCTTGATAAAATATTTATTCATTTCAAATGGCAGGCGTTTCGATAGTTATCATTAACCCTTTAACTGACTTCGGGCTTCACAGAGAGGAGGAGGAACATCAAAGTGATAAAAATTCGAGAGGAGAGACAGAATAATGATTAAAAGATGTGAAAGAGTAGGACAGACACAAAGGAAAAGAAAAGGCAAGCTGAGTACCGTGAAAGTAGTCGTATATGACATAGAGTGGGGTGATGGTAGTTTGAAGTCAGAAGTCAAGTGGCAGTTTATAAACTTTTTTGTCGTATGGGTATACGTTGCCCAAGGTGCATCACTTGGAGGTAAGTCTATTGCACACCCCACGTTTTAAAATGTATTGTTCAATCAGATATTCGTTTACCTACGGAAGAATTTATAGCAACGACTCGCGAATCTAACTGTGCTATTAGCACTTCAATCACGTTGGAGTAACGCGAACAGGATTTGAATTTGGTTGTCGCTCCAACAACTCACCCCCCCCCCTCTCCCCAGTTTAACAAAGATGAGATGGCAAAAGTTCTATCCCTTTGTTGTCAAGATAAAGAATTCGACTCTAAATTACTCACAAATTCCATCACTTGTGCCATGGTTCACCATTCTTAATGTTCTTCCACGTATTGTGTGGGAAGTAAGAGAAATGATTCATTAAGAATTTGCTAAAACAGACGAAACAGCCGAAAGGAGAGAATAAATCAGAATTTCAAAGATTAGCGTTCATGGTTACTTAACAGAAAAGGACAATTCTTCAAAACGATATTGCTAGATCACACAAAACAAGAACTACCTCTCAAGACATAGAGGGAACAAAATGGGAGATTCATCCATATCATCAATATTCCATCCAGTTGTCACCATTTCAGGTTCATGAGGAGAAAAATTATTTTGAAACGTCACTGAAGTCAGAAAAAGACGCTTATTCGAAAACAACAAGGTTTTTTCACAATGGTAACTGAAAAGTACAAGATTTGTGAGAAGTTGTCCATAATGGCGGAAATCAAATCAATTAAAATAGGCAAATCAATGTACGATATCTTCTTGTTATCCCCCAACAGAACACAAACGTCATCAGTGCTTCAAATCAGGAACTTAAAGGTATAACATCACTTTACTTTTAGTTTAATAAATAGAAATCAAACCACATTTTTCTAGACTCTAATTTATAAAACATCTACCGGTTCGTTGTCTAACCAGTCACAGTCCATCGCATTTGGTCATTGAAGCGCATTGACTGCTTCCGTCTCTTCTGGCCAAATCCAATTTGCCAATTTGCATGCATAAACACGTTCTTACTTGTATTAAAAAAGGCCTATTTTTGACTGGACAGAACTTTAATTTGGTCTGATTCAATCTCTGGGGTCTGAGCAGCTGTAGGGTACTCTACAACCCTGGGCTTGAATAAACATTATAATTGAACCAAGGGTATGCGATAGACCTACCTCCATGTGGTGTACCCTGGGCAACGTATACTCATACGGCAAAAAAGTCTATTAACTGGCAATTGACTTCTGACTTCAAACTACCATGACCCCACTGTATGTCATATTCGTCCCCTTCCACAGTACCCAATTAGCCTTTTCTCTTCCTTTGTGTCTGTCTGTCTCCTTTACATCTGTGAATCATTATTATATTACTTTGATGTACCTCCTCCTCCCTGTGAAGCCCGAAGTCAGCTAAAGGGCTAATGATAGTTGTCAAAACGACTGCCATTTGAAATAAATAAATAAATAATTGAACCATTATCACTAAAGTTTTCAAAAATCCATTCAGAGGCGTAAAACTATTTGAAATATATCAAGTCCAAAGTGATAAAAAGAAGACGGAAAATTGGTTAATCGGCTGCCTAGATTATGGCACTCTACATTCAAGATGGCACCACAAGAAACGCATTGATATTAAAACAAATATCCAAACAGATTTGAAAACGAAAAAGGACAGAGCATGATTTGTTAAAAAAATTTAATTTATTATTAAAAGGATATAAATAATGTTCAGCATATAGAAGTGCATAAAAACAAATGTGCATTAAAATATTAAAATTACTTAGGCACATATTATTGCATCGATTTTCACATCGTTTTCTTCGGTGCAAATCGTGTTTAAAATTTGTTCAGAGTACACCAGTGCCATTGTACGCGGTGGTTCAAGCTGTGGAAGAGATTCCTGGTAGAAACGACGTAATCCACTCAGGTATTGATCATAAAAACCCTTTCCTCGACCTAACCGATCTCCACAATCCGTAAAAGCTAGACCTGGCACCACAATCAGATCGACCACTGTAAAAAATAATGAATAACTTATTCCAAGTGATTGTCTAAAACGAAATTCAACAATTCTTCCCTCTCCCCCCTCCACCAAATTTGGAAAGGAGTTTGGAAATTATGGTAATATTTAGAAGCCCTGAGTCCAACCTGCAACGCTATATGATAGACCATGATATGTTCAAATTCCCCATCATCCATGAGGTGGCCTATTGTCCAACCAATAATATTTTGTCATCAATAATTAGCCAATAACAACAAAGTTGTGTCGTTAAGAGAATAAAGTCGATAAAAAAGGTTAGAGTTATTCCGCGCTCAATTATATTCTCCAGCATTAGAAGTCAATGAGAATGTAAAAACTCAATCAGCTGCTGAGAGAGAAAGACAAAACAGTGGTCCTACAATGGATTTCTGGTCACTGTGGCATTAAAGGCAATGAGCTTGCTGACACACTTGCTAAGAAGGCAACAACGATTTTGCAATGCATGGACCGCCCGATGTCTTGCCACACAATGAAGGGCTTAATCAGAGGAGAATTCAACACCTCAAGGTGCAACGAACTTAAAGCTCGAACAAAGGAGAAACAGTGGCACTCTCCGACATAGCCGATTGGCCAAGAATCGAAGTCAATGCTGAGTTTAGACCACGTTTTGGACACGATTGGTTGGCAAAACACCTTCACAGATTGGGAGTATAAACTCAACCCACATGCCCTCTATGTAACTCACAGGAGGAAATGGAGAAGACCCATCTGATTCGGTGCCCAGCTCTAAAGACAACGACAGAAACCCAGAGCTACTGGAAATCAAGAAGACAGCTAATGAACTGCTATTAATTAACTGCTTTATATGTACCCCCCACTCACGGGGGAAGCTGAAGTCAAAGTTTAAGGGCTAATGATAAATATCATAAAGGCTGCCATTTGAAAAAATATTCTCCAGCATTACTCTTTTATACTCGTAATGTACAGTGATTGCACATTCAATATATGTTTGGGTCACTTTCTATAGGACGTTAAGTTCAATCACTGGAAGGCAAAACAAAAAAATCGTACATGAAGAGAGATTAAAATCGTACAATTTTCTAGAGCATCGTCTTGATCCACACTACCAAGAGGTGGCTGTGGCATCTCTCGAATCCCAAATTTATTCAAAGGCCACGTGTTGATCTCCATTATATCTTGAATTTGACGCATCCTCATTAGACCAAGAAGGGATTTCATTTCAAAGTTGGTTTCGGTGGCAGCTTGGTCGAGGATCTGTGGTACCACGACCACCTTGCCGGTCTCCAACGCGTGTTGGATCAGAGTTCCTGTGTAGGGCTCTGTTCCAAAACTGATATACACCGAAATTCCTCTACATCTTATATAATAGTCGTGCGCCAATACCTACCAAAAGACGTCTATTTTAGGTGAGCA